TTTTTAGTAAAAAAAATTGAAAAAATTTCGAAAATTAGCGATTTTTAAATTTGTAATTTTTTTGGAGGTTTCCCCCATTTACGGGGAACGAGGGAAATTTTTTCAATTTTTAAGGGTAATGTCTTCGACTAGATACGATTTGTGATCTTTTGACGTATCATTGAAAGAAATCGGCTTGGTGAGAGCTGAAAAAAGTGGTAACAGACACACAAAAAAAAAACACATAATAAAATTAATACCTTGTCAGCTCTGCATCAAAGCTAAAATTAAATCATTTTTCTTAACAAACTCCTCTACAATAAACTTATCTAGAAGCATTAGAGTTATGGATATGGAGAAAAATGGCAAAGACAAAATGGATAGACAAGAATTAAAATGAGAAAGTGCTAGAAAAAGTACGAGAAGAAATACAGCTGGATGAAGGTGATTGAATCAAGAAAAATAAAGTTAATTGGACATATGCGGCTCAATGACTTTAAAATCAATATCTTCAAAGGAAAATTAATAAGGATGAAACCAAGAGGTCACTCAAGGAAACAATATTTTAAAGATATCTTGGAACTCGTGAACTGTGCGTCTTTTGTTTCAATGAATAATTGTCATCAAACACAGAATAGTGGCTTCAACGACAAGGCATTGCCTTTAATAGATGACGATGACTTACTTTACAATATACTTAATAACAGTTTATCATAAACCACTATAATATACAAAAAATTGATTGATCTAAATGATTTAGCTAAAAATGTCATATTTCATACTTAACTTGTAAGCATGATTTAAAACCAATAAATGTTTACATTTAATTTATTTATGAAAAATTTATGATGTAATTATTTTTTTGGTATCTTTGAATTCAATGAGTTTTAGCTAATACAAAAATATATAAAGTGATCTTCTTTTTTTTCCTCGCCTTTTTTATAACTATGTGGTGTCGGCTACCCTTATCCTAAACTTCAACTTGTCACAATTTCCCATATCATCTACACACATGGCAGCCGTCCTCATATCGCATTCAATAGCATCCTTTCATCTCTTTTTTGATCTTCCTCTACCTCTTCTTCCTTCAACATTTATTTCTATAACTGTTCTTACAGCTTTCGATTTCTCTCTTCTCATAACATGACCAAACCATCTAAGTCTATTTTCTCTTATCTTATTCACGATTGACGCTACACTTGTACTCCCTCTTATATGCTCGTTCCTTATTCTATCTTGTCTAGTCACTCCACTCATCCATCTAAGCATTCTTATCTCTGATAAACTCATTCACTGCTCTATTCTATTGTCAACCACTTAACACTAAACAATACATCATAGATGATCTCATTATAGTTTTGTAGATTTTATCTTTCAGCCTCATTGAAATTGTAGTAACTCAAAATAAATGTTAAGAATAGGTTTTTGGGGTAAGTTAGCACAATGACAATTTTATTTTAAGTATCTACTTGTTTATTAAAATAAGAAATGTATATCTCTATTGGGGTCGCAGAGTCCGGGGGTTTAGAACAATAAAGACAAGTAGATATAAAGAAACAAATGTAGAGCACCCATGAATATAACACGATTATTTTAAGATAAAATGCATAGTGTATAATGATCAATGTAACACATGTATACATATATAGTAGCTAGTATACAACAGTTTATATGTTATGACAGATAAATAAATTATTTATTTGCATACAATTAATATAAAATATTAATTTTTCATTGATAAATATAAAATACGTAATACAAAACATTGGGCATATTACGACAAAATTCTGTTTTCGCGTAACACACCAGACGCTTCTCTCCACTTCGCCACCCGCACTTATTCCTGTGTCTTACATCCTCATCAATACCACCGTTCTTTTGCACAACTGATCCTAAATACTTAAAACTGTCCACCTCTTCAATCACGTCCTCGCCTATTGTCACTGATTCCCTCATTTCACCTACATTGTGTTTTCCTTTGTCAAACATGTACTCTGTATACTCTATCTTATTCCTAATTATTCTTAATTCCTTTCATTCAAGCGCTGAACTATACTACTCTAGAATTTGATTAATTTCCTCCCCATTTTCTCCTATCGTCAGCAAACAACATGCATCACGGTGCATATCCTTGTATTTCTCTAGTAATTTCATTTATCAATATAGAAACTAAGTAAGACTTTAAAACAGAACCTTGGTGCACTTTTACTCTTACCCTAAAGTCTTACTTTATTTCACCAACACTTTTAAACCTAGTTCGAGTGCCATCATACATATCCTATATTAAATTTCCATATTACTACAAACAATAAACTACATAAATACTCTAACACAATAAAAATACAGATATAGATATGATCATGCATTTACACTGAAAATACTAAACTAGAATCAGAAGAAGTTCTCAGGATGGTATTTAGAAGTTCTCTAGGAAAGTGAATAAATTTTTTTATACTGTAACAGTATACAAATGGATAACGCCAATACATAGGGACGATCGCGCTTATAACCCCTAAAAAAAAGCTTCTGGAAATTCGTCTAAACCAGAAGAAAAAAATTAGAGGATGAATTTCATTCCTCTCCATTGATTATCGATATTGGTCAAAATCTTGTCATATTTGTGTAAATCCAAGTTGTTTAAGTGTTTAAACTAGTAAAATATTCTCCTTTTTTTTAATCATATCATTTTTTTATTAAATTTAATGAAAATCATTATTTTTATTTATTTTTGCAAAATTTAGTATGAGTAAAGATTTCATTTTAAGTCTTAAGATTTATTTTACACCAATTATATTCAATTTAAGAAGGAATTGAAACATATTATATTATATATGGGATAATTTTACCTACATCGTAACCCAAGTACATACCAGTAAAGCATTATAATAGGATTTTTCAAAAAAATGGGTGATCCAAATTAAGCGACTCTTCTCTACTATTCTTTCTATTGAAAATCAAAACGTATTTTTTATTCATAATTAATTTCATCGTGAGGAAATTTATCCTAACATTTTTTTTTAATTTGAATAATTTATTTTATTTTCATTGAAGGTCATAAAGACCATTCCAAAGGAAGTTTTCTTAACCATTGATACTCCGAGATGGGTGGTTAGTCCATCGGCAAAGAGAGGGGTGGTGACTCTAATTACTGAAATGAACTCTCGCTCAGTAAATAAACCACCCGTGACCTAGTTTTGAACTCGAGACAATGCTCGTCAAGCACTGCCGTGCTACCGTTTTTTATAAAAAATTTTTGTACTTAAAAAGTTTATTTTAAATACATTTAATTGTAATAAAAGTAATTTAATCGAATAATCATTATTTTATAGCATTTTAAACAATTAGTTTTTTTAGAGAACATATATTTATTATCTTAATGAGTATGACATCAAAATATAAATTATTAAGAACTTTAAAAGATGAAAAACTCTATTTTTGTGTTCATTCACTCCAAGTCTATTTATTGATCATATTTAATTTCAACTTCCATCTTTCCAGTTATTCCAATAGCTTCCATTTGAATTTTCACATCCTGGAAATAAGAAATTAATTAGTTTTTTTTGTTAGAAACAAACAAGATTATTGACATAATGACAGTTGTGTTATACGTTGTCATCTAACATAAGATAACATAAAAATTGGGCCTCTGAAATATTGTAAAACAACTTCAAACATTTTTTATTCAATATTTGATATTTAAAGAAGCATTATTTCCAAAATTTGTATTAAGTAAAAAGTCACATGTTATGATTTATAACCAACTCTGTATCCTATTTCTGCAGTGGCGTATTAACAGGGGACACTTTGGAATCCGGATACCTCTCCTCATTGACATAAAATCATGTTTAAGGGAACGAAATGACAAAGACCACTACTCTAAATCTAAATGATATTTGTACATCTTTATAATAAATTCTTAAATATGACATTGAATTCCTATAAATTATCCAAATTATTTTAAAACCAAAATTATATTTAAAATATAAATTTAGAACTAACAAATATTCAAACTAAAAACTCAGAAAAAATAAATATAAATATTAATTTTCCCAATTCAATAAATTTTATTCGCGGAATATTAAACTAATATATATATATATATACAGTTATGTGCTAACTGTCATTAGTGTCCTGGAATACTCATATATTTGGCGACACTATTTAATAAATTTTTAAACAAGATACATCATCATATGCAAAAAAATGTATTCATATTTTTTGTGCCCTAGGGCAATTTTATGCATCCGTTGCTTCCCCTTAGCCTGCTCAGTATGTATATAAATAAAAACACGTTGACAACGACTACAAAAACTACTACTGAAAAGGTAAAAATACAAATAATATAAATAATAATTAATAGGTCAACATGACCATACAATATCGATATCAAGTCAAAAAACTTACAGGATACATACTCGATGGCTGCAAGTATGTTTTTGCTCCAGTTTTAGAACCAAACACTGTAAAATAAAAATATATATTTGAAAAGATTTCTAGTTGCGCTACTAATTGTGATTACGCCTATATGGCGTCTATATAGAGAGCATTTATGTGTCGATCTTAAAACTTAAAATGCTGAAAGCACAGAGGAGACTATAACCGCTTGGCATCATACAATAACATACTCTTCGGATAAATCATAAAGGGGACGTTTCTGAGCCTCACTAGAGTTAGAGATACAAAAACCCTTTGTGTCCCATTCTCCTATACATTTTTAACAAAGATAATACAGATAGTTAAGTTATTGATATTACTGTGTTATATTTCTTTTAATTTTTATAATACTTGATAAACCAGTATCAAATGGGATAAAAAAACATTATACCAAAAATGCATAAAAAATGGCACTATATATAACATAAAACAATTCTCAATAAAATAAATGTAATTTTTTTTCAAATTTCAATTTGAATAAATTCTATGTAAGTAAAAAATAGTCACTTATGTTCCAAGAATTATTAACGTTAAACATAAAATAAGATAGCACAATAGGGTCGCGGCATAGTATGGACATGGCATAGTAGAGACAAGTATAGATGATATGANACTTATGTTCCAAGAATTATTAACGTTAAACATAAAATAAGATAGCACAATAGGGTCGCGGCATAGTATGGACATGGCATAGTTGAGACAAGTATAGATGATATGATAATAAATATAGTTTAAAAAAACTAAAAAACACACTTTTAAAGAACATCGAACTAAAGTTAAAAATAATTTTTAAAATAAGCGTAAAACAATAATGAACGAAAAGTACTAGTATTATTGTGATAAAAGCGTCGGGCGCTCAATATACGAAAAATATAGCACAAAGCACCCACGCTTTTATCACAATAATACTAGTACTTTTCGTTCATTATTTTGTTTTACGCTTATTTTAAAAATTATTTTTAACTTTTTAGTTCGATGTTCTTTAAAAGCGTGTTTTTTAGTTTTTTTAAACTATATTTATTTTTCACTTTTTAGTTACATGTTATGATAGTAGTTACTATCAATATCATGGTTGTAACGGGTAAAGGGGAATCAGGGTTCGATTCCGGAGAGGGAGTCTGAGAAACGGCTACCACATCCAAGGAAAGCAGCAGGCGCGCAACGTGGAGGTAGTGACGTAAAATGACGATACGGGAATCATCCTTTGTAATCGGAATAAATACCCTATATATCTCTTAATGAGAATAAAGCGTATTAATATATAAGTTTTAATAGTAATTAAAATATATATATATATACATGTAAAGCGACTTAAGTACGTAAACGTATCATGCACGAGGTATAGCTGTGTTTTGTTGGCGGGCGGGGCGCGAGGCATATATGGCGGCAGCGGCGTCGGCTGTAGGGATATATAAATGAATATTAACATATACGTATATATAAATAATAATATATATATGTATATATATATTAATATTAGCGGCGATGGTAAGAATATATAATCTTCGCATAATATCGTGGCACTTTCGTTGGCGTCGACGACGCGATGTCCGGCGTGATCCTCGGGCGTCAAAAGGTTAGCAGCGTTGATGGCGACGGTGCGCGAGTGGAGATCGGTTTATTGACGTTGCCACTTTGACAACAGGAAGAATACTACGGTATCATTAGCGGCGGTACGTCGTCGGCCGTGCGGCAGCACTTGCTGGACTTTGCACCGCGGCGTATAACGCGCGGTGTTGGTCAGTCAAATACTCAAAATTATACAGAAAAAAATAGTATAGGCGCCGAATTGTGAGCGGGGTGGGGTGAATGCGTTACGACGGTCTAGTCTCAAGGTCATAGACGACGGCATACGCGACATAATAACACGTGCCGCGTGGAGTTACAAACTAACAACATACAAAATACATGTGAAACTAATATAAGCGTGTTAATGATTAAAATTACTATCAAACGCTTCGATGCTAATCTGTAGATAGTGTTTAATTTTAAGAAATTGGTAGATTATTTCAAAAACAACAATAACTCTTATTCCCTTCATTTTATCCCGATTAGTAATTTGATTTATAATCATAATATATGAATGAATAATAATTATAGTAATTAAATTTAGTATGAAATTGATATTCAATAATTTAATATTGTAATTTTTACGGAGATATAAAAATAATAAAATAGTTGTATATTTCTTTACTTTTAACGCGTAAAACAATTTAAAGAGCTTGACTAATAAAGTTATAAGTTTTATACATTGGAAAACAAGGAACTTTCATCAGAAACAAAAATGTACTTTTCTAAATCAACTTTTCTCGATGTTTTCAAATATGCAATTAAACTTTTTCTATCACTCAAGTTTTAATATTATTACTTGTTATTAAAAAATAAGTATTTACATAAAAAAAAAAATAATTAAGAATTTTTTTCAATTTTTGAGGGTAATATCTTCAACTAGATACGAATTGTAGTCATTTGACGTATCGTTGAAAAAAGTAGGTCAAGTTAGACCACAGAAAACAAATGATAACAAGAAAATACCCTCTAAGCTTTGCATCAAAGCTAAAATCTAAAATATAGTAAAATAATTTTATTATGAATAAGAAATTTAAATGAAATAAAAATCAAATGTCTTGAAAATTTATTCTATATCAAAAAGAATTAAGAAAAAAATGCAAGAACGCCTTGCCACAAGCAGGTTAGAATCTTATACCCCAAGCGCGTAAAAACACTAGTGTTACCGATTCGGCAACCGTACGTCGCTTCCGTCAACGGAAAAAAATAGCAATATAAACTAATTCAAATTTCACTATTATATTTCTCTACTTTAAAAAGCAAAAAAAATTAAATAAGTTTAACTTTCTATGCTATATTAATTTGATTTATATAATATTTACGAAAATCAGTGTACTCCCCTTGTCAGGTTTTTAAAATAAAATAAAATACAAAACCCAAATTTTTAACACAAAAATAGCATATTTTTGAATGTGGTAATCATTTACACCATGAATACAAATCCAGAGGTCAAATTTTCTTTTTCAAATTAAAGTATATTATATAAGCTTTAATTTAAGGTATATATAAAAGTGTCAGTCTTTCTGGAACATTTTCAAAAGTTAAGTTGTAAATGGTAAAAAATTACCATTTTGAAACCCTTCCTGTAGGCAGGTAAAGGGTCAAATATTCGTAAAAATATATGAAATGGTTGTTAAATACCTAAGGTATCTATAAAAAAAAAAACCCAGCACAGGTGGGTCGCGGCACGGTGGTGACGTGGCATAGTTGGATCAAGTATAATGATATCTGACAGTGATTAAAATCACTATCATAAGTTGTCATTTTAAATCCCTCCTTGTGGTCAGGTAAAGGGTCAGATTTACAAAAAAAATATACCAAATGAAAGGTAATGATATCATGCATCCATATAAAAAAATGGTTTGGTCATTTTTAAAAAAGTTATTACAATTTTAAGTAAAAAAAAATTGAAAAAATTAGGGATTTTTTTGGAGGTTTCCCCCACTTACGGGGAACGAGGGAAATTTTTTCAATTTTTGAGGGTAATGTCTTCGACTAGATACGATTTGTGATCTTTTGACGTATCGTTGAAAGAAATCCATTTGGTGAGAGCTGAGAAAAAGTGGTAAAAGACAAAAAAAAACACATCATAGTAAAACCAATACCTTCTCAGCTTGGCATCGAAGCTAAAAGTTATGGCAGTTCTAAGTAAAAAAATTGAAAAAATGTCGAAAATTAGAGGTTTTTTAATTTTTTGGGGGATTTCCCTTAATGTCTTCGACTAGATACAATTTATGATCTTTGACGTATTTTTCATAAATATTGGTCCAGTGAGATCTGTGATTGAATGGAAACAGACACAAAAAAAAAAAATAAATAAAAAAAAAAAAAACACATCATAGTAAAATTTATACCTTCTCATCTTGGCATCGAAGCTAAAAATTGAATAATGTTTTAATAATAAAATCGTTTTAAACATAAAAGTTTATTAAGTTCAATTTCAATTAACATTAAGCTCAATTGATAGATAATATTATACTGTATTTAAACATACAATGAACAACTTTTTTTAATTCGACTCTAGTATCAAATATTTAAAATACAAGCTCATAATTACAATACTATCACTCAAGCATATTGTATATAAACTCTAATTTTTTTAATGAGCGAATACATACTTTGATTATATATTTTTTCAACAATTTCCAAATCATTTATGTCGGAAAGAAAAATTGTTGCTTGAACCACTGAAATTACCACATAAAAATTATTTTTACAAGCTATAGTCATAAATATCATTTAATACCCTATAAATATAAATAATGACTAAACATAAAAAATATAAACAAGAAAATCTTATTTCCCTAGTGTTATTTAAATGTATATGCATATAATTATTTATATAAACTCTTTGGTAACTTATAGTAAATAAATTTGATTTGACAAAGTTTTAGTGAATTTTATAAAAACACATTAAATAAACGATTGATCTTATATATCAGTTATAAATTTAGTATAATAATACCAAATTATTTTTAATAAACAAGCCGGAATTAACTACATGGGTCCCGAGCGGTACCTTGAGCTGGGCCCTTCTATTACTTCACATGAAAAAGTGACAAGCAAAAATAATTTTTTAACATTTCACTATACTTATATTTTGTATATTTTAAAAATTTAAATCAAAACAAACCATTCCTAGTAGAAGATCCAGCTGCTTCAAGAATAGCTATCACATTTCTAAAAGTTTGTATTGTTTGCTCTTCCAAATTATCAGAAACTAACTTCAATGAACCAGGTGTATAACCTAGTGTACCAGATACAAAAACTGTATTTCCAGCCACAACAGCTTGGCTTAAATATTATAAATTTAAATTAAATTAAAAATTTTAATTAAATTTAAATTAAAAAACACATAACATATCAGTATATTTTAACATTTAATTTTGCAAATCAGGGCCAAGCAAGAAAGATGTACACACAAAAAAAATATGAGCAAAAAAGGGTCATTTGATTGTAAATTATTTTTGGGCGTATCTATAAGCACGTGCCTCCTTCAATGTCAAATTTTGAGGGACACTATTTTTTATCTTTCATTATTGATCATAATAATAATTATTAGCCAATAATGAATAAATACGTATTGACTTGTAGTTACCTATCACATTCTGTTTTTGTTATTTTATGTGTACATTTTAATAGCTATAGCCAACTATATATCTATTTTCAATTTTTGACAGCAGTAGAATATAAATAAAATACGAATTTATTACTTATGGTATCTAATAGTAGCCTACGAAGATTATAATAATTAAATTGTTTTTTTTTTTTGTATATTATATTTTATAAATAGTATTTATGATCCGTGTATTGTTTTATTATTTAATAAGCTTAAATGTCAACAATTATTTTAATTAAAAATTCATATTTTTTATTAATAATGTAAAAAATTAATATGGTCTGAGGACTCCCCGGGACATTGTAGGATGATAATTTTTGATACCTACGCGTGATTAAGAGGTAAATCTCGCACGCTTCCGAGTTTGGGGTATCGCGCTTATGATTTAGCAAAGGCCCCACAAAGTATAATACAGATACTGATGCAAACGTTTAACTAATAAATATTGATATTTGTACATGTACAATCATACAATATATATTATGCTGAATTTGAAAAAAATTATGTTTGGTCAAATGATCACGTAAGATGTAACACCGCCTATTTTATATTTTGACCAAGATGACCTGTCAACGCCATTTTAATCATCGATATGTGGGACATAGACTGGTAAATTCAGATTAATAATTGAGTTAACAGAATAAGTGCTAAACGAAAAATTGGGAATACAATATATTCAATGGTATAGAAATTTTATTTTTTTACCAATGAAAAATTAATAAAACTGAGATAAGCAGTGTTACATCGTAAGCGATATTAAATTGATCTTAAATATTAGTCAAAATACAAGTACAATTTAGTCAAAAAAATATGAATAGAATTATTTATATCCTTAAATATTTACCAGCTGCGATTTTTTTAGACTCAAGTATTTTAGTTAAATTTAATTACATATAGTATTTATGTTTTAGACATTAAAATTTTTAAGTTATGGTTCAAAACTAAAATTAATAATTTATAATATTTTAATAAAAAAATTTTAAGTAACTCTATGTTTAATGTAAATATACATTTTTATTTTCATGATAAAACAGTTATAAAAATTATGTACAAGTGTAAATTTTTAATAATTTGGAGAATCTAAACGAAAAGTGAGTTTAACTTTAAATAAGCTTACTTCATTGTCCCAACCACAGGTAAGGGAGCTTTTGATGTTCGGATATAGTTAACATCTGTAGTCATAATTTTACAAAATTTCTTATGAATCCTGATGAAATCTCAAAATACTTAATTCACTAAATCTGTCATGTACTAATAATAACGGTAACTTTGATTTACTATAGTTAGTAAAAAATATTATGTAATGGGTCATAATTACGTAACAAGAAAAAATAATAAGAGGTTTGATATTTGATTTATTTTTTTCATAAGTAATTTTTTAATTCTAAATGTTTTGAAGTTACAGCTAAATATAAGTAGATAATTGTATTATAACATAAAATATAATCACAGGATATTTATTAAGTATAATTTGTTATTACTAGTATTTGATGAACCACAATGTTGCTTAATTTTACATAAATATTCACAATTATTCTAAAACATAATTGTAAAACTTAATAGTATATACTCACAGTATTAATTACAAAATTTAATACATAATATTGACTAATATCTTATAACTGATATTATTAAGATTATTTTCAAACAAATGTGCATTTGTAATATGTCATGATTTATTATTATATACACATATTATAAGACATTATTAACTATAAAATTTAATCACAAAACAATAAATCTATTATTCTATAGAGTTAAATTATAGACAAAATTTCAACTATGCGTATTTTAAATTAACCAATATATGTATAAAAAATTAGATAGAAGGGAGAACAGTTTCCAAAAACTTTTTAATATCCTTTAATTCCTGTAAAAACAAAAATGTATATAATATTACAATGAAAATATATAAATGTCTTTGTAAAAAGTAGTATATTTTTTATGATAAATATACAGTGATTTTTTAAAAATTATACTACCAAGTTTTTTTTTTTAATAATAATTTTTTATAAAAATATACTGAAATAGATATATAAAATTTAAATTAACCATGATGAAAATCAAAATTATTACTAATGAAAGATATTTATTAGGATAAATTTTAAACATGTGTCCGGTTAATTTCAACATAGTTCATAAAATTTAAAAAAACTTAATTGTGTGTACCTTTATGAAAAAATCAAAGTTTAAAGAAAAAATTGTTGGTATTACTTATCATAAATCACCCTGCATATATATTAATAATGTAATTTATTAACCTCATAATTCATATCATAAAATAAATAAATAAAATACAAACCGCATCAGATGAGCTATGCATCAAGCCTCTGTAGGTTTTTAGTTCAGTATTTTTAGCAAAAGACTTCAAAATAGATGCTGATAATTGTCCCCATTTAAGTGGTACAATTGGATCACAGTCACCATGACATTGGATGATAGGAATATTTTTGTTTCCTACTGCTGCCTAAAACGAAACAATAATTTAAAAATAATAACAATAATAGTCAACAAAGTTAAAAAAAAACAATGTCAAAGGATAAATTACGTGATCAAATTGACATTCCACTATTATTAATTTTAAAATACTCTCTAAAATATAAAAAAGTGGCAGTTAATTTTTTGTTAGTATAGAATATGAATAATAAAAATACTCCTAGTAAATTAACTAAAAGGGTACATGGAAAGAACAATGAGTCACTTTTATTTAAAATAGAAATTTTGGTGATGCAAAATTTATATTGTTGTAGTATAGGTTTTAAGCTGTTAAACTAATAACAAAAGTAGATTATTCAAGAGTTACAGCAGTCAGGAGATTTAGCTTACTGAAAAATAACAAAATTGATATTGGATTAAAATAAAATGAATTATTATTAATTAACATAAATTTAAATATAATAATTTTTGTTAATATTATTAAGTAATAACCTGTACTCGATAAAATAAAACTTCAAAAATGACTATACTTTGAAAAGCTTATTTTTATAGGGTGATCAACTAATAATAAGACACTCACTTTCTTAGAACTATAAAATATTTTCAATTTTTAAAAGGAAAATATTGTTTGATTTAAAAAACTACAATAGTATGTAGTTAAATCAATTTTTTTCATCTTTTTAGAGATAAAAAACCCTTAATTTTTATTCTCTTAAATGTGAACCTCTATCTTTGGTTTGATTATACAATAAAAAAAACTGTTGGTGTTTAAAAATTTTTCAAAGATTTCGATTTAATTATAAATTTATCATAAATTTGATTTTCATAATATCATAAGCAACAAGAATCTGTTTCAATGTGCCATAAATTATTATCATTATTTGTTTTTACTATTCTAAATGATAGATATGTTAACAAGAATTATCATCAAAAACATGTTTATATGACAGCTTGAAGATATAACAATTACTGTATGCTAAACAGCAATTTATTAATAAAAATTTAGTCTAAAATTGATAAACTTTAACAAGTTATAACAGAAGAAAGGTGATTTATTGAATAAAAAAAATTATAAGAGCAAAATTTTTTTCTATCGTATTACTAAACTAAAAATAAGGGTTTCTATTAAATAAAATTCAAGTTAAGGTATTTTAGCCATGAATATATGAAACAAATATTATTTAACTATATATTATGGTAAGTTTTTAAATAAAATAATTTTTTCCTTTACAATAATTTTAAATTTTTAATAATTTCCAAGAAAATAAATATTCAATTAATTACTCTATATATAAATTATATAATTTTTTCTTAATAATATAGAAGTATAGATTGTTATTATATTTCAATTTTATTTCCATATTTAGCATAAATTTTAATTTGTTAAAACACTACTGTTTTGCATTTTAAAACATATAATACTATTATTAACAAAATAAATTACTACTATTGTTTTTTCTGTGTACCCTTTATATACAATATTAAATTATTAGTATCTTACTTCTGGGAATGATTTATGAAGCGGTATCCAACATGACAAAGCCATTACACCAGCTAATGGCTTCTTATAAGTAAAAGCAGAGTATAAGGCTAAAGCTCCACCTTGTGAAAAACCACCAAGTGCTATACGATTTGATGGAATGTTAGTAGATTCAATTTCACGATCAATGATATTGTGAACTAGTTTTGCAGCTTCTTTAATACCAGGCTCATCTTCTGGACCAGATTCATCTAAAGTGAACAAATCAAACCATGATGGCATACAAAATCCTTGATTTAGGGATACTGGCATTTGATTTCTAATTTAAAAATTTAAAAATTGTAAAATAAAAACAAATAAAGTTAACTTAAAATTTTAATTTACTTACGCTGAAGGACATATCACCTTCATATAAGGTTGTCTTATTTGTGACATAGCTTCAGCCCAGCCATTTCTAAAAAATATAAATATTAATAATAGCTTTTTATAAAATCTAATATTTAATTTAAAATTATAATGAAATAAATTTAAAAAAAAATAAGTAAATAATTGAAATTCTTTGCAAAGTTTATTGAACATCTTGTACATGTTTCAAAAATATATTCATTATTGGAATTAATTATAACTTTGTAGTTAATATAACTTTTATTTTTAATGAACATATAATACTTATAAAATTAGAATAAATTAAGTTAACAGAATGTTAACATGGCATTTTATAGACTAACAAAGAGATATGAAATTTGAATAATTGATTAGTAAACATATTATATTGAATAAAAATTTTAATTCACATAGAGAGTACTATAAATATATATAATAAATTGTTATAAAATAAAAATTTGACATTGAATGCATAGTTTAAAAAAATGATAACGCTAAACCCAATGTACTATCAAACGTTTTTAAGACTCGTACACTGCAATAAAAACTTTTACAGCACTTCAACAGATTTCCAAGAATTTTGTCAATAGCTCAAATTAGTTACCTGATGTCACTGTTTCTTAATATTGATATCAATTATTTTAGAAGTGTACAAGAAAAACCTGTTTCATGAAAAAAATGGTTAAGACAAACAAATGACTCTAGCATGATTCAAAATTGTACTGAGAAGAAATCATTTATATACCTTCCACTCTTCCAAATTTCATATTTCTAGTGATACTATATCAAGTTCTATGTTACCAGTTTCACCATTATTTCACATACCTTGTATAGTATTTAACATTTAATTAAATATCATGCATAATTTTTTAAATTTTTAAAAAGAAATTATTTTTTTATTGAAATAACATAATTTAAAATAAATGAATAATAATTTAAAGAAATGAATATTATTTGTTTAATTCAATTAAACACATATAATTTTATATAACACTGTATGAAAACTTAGAGTATAATATTGCCATATACTAACCCTGAATCTCCAAGTCCATGCAAAAATATTACCTGAAAAAAATTATATATATATATATATTAAATGCAATTTTAATTTTAAATTTTATAAATGCACAATATATTAGATTGTCAAAACATACTAAACCATTATTAATGTACTTAATGAAATACAAATTTAAAATAGAATTAAGTTTTTAATGCAAATATTTTAAATGATTTATAAATTGTTCTTTAAAGTCATAATTTATCTTAAAAATGTAACTAATAAAAATGTCTTCAACAACTATGATATAAAATTATTTCATAATAACTCATAATTTTTAAGATTTATCACTAAAACATAGCTTTCTTTTATTAATTATTATTTCTCTTACAAAAACTAAAACGTTCTTGTTGAAACTAAAATTATTCATTTTAAACAAAATAATTATATTTACTCACAGTAGCAGTCTGCTTAACCGACGAAGATATTATAATGGGATTGATGGACATATTTTTTGTTTGTTTTTTAGTAACAGTAAAATTTATTAGAGATACAATTATTAAAAAGAAAATCAATTTTGATGAAGTACAAGTTGATTTTCGATCTGCCGAACAATTGTGGTTATAAGAATCCATACAAATTAAATTAATTTTCATGGAACGTAAAAAAAAAAAGCATGCGACATTTAAAACTGATAAAATGAAAAATTAATTAAGATGTATTATGGTAATTTTGTTTTCATAAAATTATACCATACTAATATTCTTGCATAATAGCAATAAAATGCTAATCAAGAAGCGTATTATTATTTTTATAGTTCTGATTGTACAAAGAAAACTGGCCCCATATTACTTTTAATGATTATGCAAAATATTAATACAACTACTTAATGTAAACCTTATGTTAAATTTATTCAATGAAGAACGATTCAAATACTTGCTGATGACAACTAAATAACCTATATACTAATCAAGTTCAAATATTGAACTGAATAATAATTAAATTACATTTTTTCTGCAATACATGACATTTTATAAAGGTCAACTATAAATAATTCATTTTTATTCTTAAAAAATTATCATTATTAAGGAAGGCGCAGTGGACACTTCATATACTGTCAAATTTTAAAGTTACGCTTACACATACCACATTTAGTTGACAGATACGTTAACACACGTACAAAAGTATAAAAAGTAAATGAAAGAGTAACAAGTAGGGAAAAAAATCGTCATAAAAAATTTCTTATAAATGTTTATAGCTAAAAACTTTAAAGTTAAATTATATATACACCTACAAAATATACAAACATGATTTATAAAAACAATCGGTAGCATTTGAGAATGTGGTATAGTTGGGATCAATACAGATGATATCTGACAGTGATCAAAATCACAATCATAAGAAACGCTTCGATGCAAATCTATAGACACTGTTTAATTTTAATAAATTGGTTGATTATTGCAAAAGTAACATCAGCTCTTATTTCCTTAATTATATCCTTATATGTAATACTTTGATTTATAAATATAATATATGAATAAATACTAATTATAATAATTACATTTAGAATGAAATTAATAATTGATAATTTAATATTCTAATTTTTATGTAGAAATAATAAGTAGTTTTTACTTTTATGGCAAATGTGTATAAAAATTGAAGTGCTTAATGCAATACTTATCAAAAAAAAAAAATTTGTTTGTTACTTATAAACAAATTTACTGTTGTACAAATAATTTTCATCTGAAAACAACATAAACTTTTCTAAATTCATTTTCGTGACAATTTAAAATTAATAATTAGATTTTTTACTAAGCACTAATTTTTGATATAATTGCTAATTAGTTAAAAACGTGTTATAACATATATAATAAATACAAGATATACAATAAGTGATTTTAACGAAATTTTGGGATTTTTTTTATAAATTTACTGTAATTATACATCAATAATATATCAATCTAAACAAAACCATTTTTAAATCCTCATAAAATATTCTATGTAATAATATCAATTTCAAATTTACCAGTTGAACAGAAAAAAATGTTAAAGTTCAACATTTTTAAGTTATAAACTTTCCTAAAAATCAACATAAAAGAACCAAAAAAATAAGTTAAACATGACATTTTGGATTAAAATTTTGCACGGGTTATTTTTAACATATTAAAAGTCAAAATCAATTTTTATATGTAAATAATCATTTTTACAAAGTATTAATAATCTGAAAAAAAAGAAGCGATTAAGAAAGTGTAATTGCAGATTTGAAATAAGCGCAAAAATGTGGTTGGGTTATATTTTAAAGTATATTTTGGTATATGCTAATTAAAAAATGTTTCATTTTAGTGACATGATTTATCTGCATAATTTATTATAAAATCAAATTCTATACTCCTATTATTTGTGGAGATATTTAATATAAAAAAAAACCCAGCACAGGGGGGTCGCGGCACAGTGGTGACGTAGCATAGTTGGATCAAGTATAATGATATCTGACAGTGATTAAAATCACTATCAAAAAAAAAAACTCTTTGATGCAAATCTTTGGATAGTGTTTAATTTTAAAAAATTGGTGGATTATTTCAAAAGCTACATGATCTGCTATTTTCTTATTAATATCCTAAATGAAAAAAGGATTATTAAAAAATATTATTTCTCATGACAAAATTATATTGATCCATACATTTTTTAAAAAGTTATAGCATTTAAAAGTAAAAAATGTAAAATATAAAATCGAGAATTTTTACACAAAAAAAACATTTGGTAGCCATTTTCATCGCAAAGACAAAATAAAGTCCGAAATTTTTTTTTTTCCATAATAAAGTATATTACATAAACTTTAATTTAAGATATATATAAAAGTGTCAGACTTTCCGGAACACTTTCAAAATTTAAGTTGAAAGAGTAAATTTTTTGGGAAATAATTGTCATTTTGAATTCCCCCTGTAGGCAGGAAACGGTCAGATTTATTAAAAATATACCAAAAGGTAATTTATAAAAAAAGGTAAATAACTCATGTATCTATAAAAAAGTTATGGCAATTTTAAGTAAAAAAAATTTCGAATAGTTGCCGGCATAATTTTTTTTTTTATCTTATATTTCAAAATCTTTAAATTGATGTCAGTTTTAAAAACGCAGTCGTTCCTAAACATATCCAAAAATTGTGTTGAAACAAAAAGAATATTAACATGCTTGGGTATTCTTTTTCATACTCTTCTTGTTCTATCATAAAAGAATAACCGAAGAAAGAATATTAAAATTTCATTAGGATTAATAGTTTTAAAAAGAATTATAGCAATTTTAAAATGTAGAAAATATTTTTTGAATATTTCGGTTTTTACAGTGGCCTAATTTTTAGATATTTGTCTAAATTTCTAAAATTAAGAGATTTTTCAATATTTGTGTAACTTATAAATTCAACTAAATTAAAATTGGGTTCTTTTGACGTTTTGATCATTAAAATAGGTATAGTGAGAGTTGAGAATTTCTATAGACATAAAAAAACCGCACACCATCACAAGACCAATAACTTCTTAGCTTCACATCGAAATTAAAAATCTATTCAATTAAAAATTAATTATAATTGGAAAAATCTATTGTTAAATTCAGGTTAAACCTAAAATAAATTTTTTTAGAAATAATTTATTCAGTATTATGTTATTAAAAATTTAGAATACTATAAATTGGTAATGGACTACACAAATACTAAATAGCAATGTAAAATCATTCAACTTTGTAGTTGAAACTTATTATCATATCAAACCTGATTCGACAATAAATACATTAAAAATGATGATTTTGATTTTATCTATATAGAGAAATTGGTCTAAGTAACTTCTTAATTGATAAAGAAGAAATTGTTTTCAATTATTGCAGGTAAAATCTTCAACTAGTACGAGTTGTGATCATTTGATATATAGTTGAAAAAAATTGGTCAAATGATAGCTGAGAAAAATGAATGATAGACAAAAAATAAAAACTATATAGTACAATAATTTTAATATGAATAAGAAATTGTTTCTCAGAAGAGGAGACTACAGTGATGCAGTCCTTGAAATTCATTGATGTTAATCAATTTAAATAAGATAAAAACCAAACAAATTTTGATTTTTTTTCCTATACTCAAAATGTATTTAGAAAAAAGTGCAAAAAATTTACTTCGATGAGCGATGAAACCTCGTATCCCTAGAGTAAGAAGATTAAGTATTTACCGACTTGACACCCACATATCACACTTGATCACGGATGAAAAGTACAATACATGCTAATTCAAAATTTCGAAGTCATTTTTTTAGATTTAAAAAAAGTAAAAAATTTTAAATAAGTTTAACTTAATAATCTGTCTTATACTTTTTATGAAAATCTGTGGCCTCCCCGTGTAAGGTACTTTAAAATAAAAAGTTATACAGGTTTTAAGTCAAAGTAATTTTTAAAAAAAATTTAGGGGATGGTTCCCTAACCATATTTTTCTAGTTTAGCCAATGTAGTTAACATTAATTTTTAAATACGCTTTCAAATAAGTTTTGTACATTCAAGATACTCATTCAGTGTACTTACGGCTATTAAAAATCCAAATACTAAAAACGAACTAATTCAGAACATCAATCCATATTAGCAAATACAAACAAAGACATAAAATACATGTGGGTTCCCTCCCATGTAAGAATCATTGGAAACGAAGCAGCAGATAATGAAATTGCTATATCATCATGGATATTACTGTAAGAATTCCCTCAAATGATGCCATACACGAAAAAACCAAAAGAATAGATCGAAAATGGCAAAACATATGGAACGAAATATCACCCAACAACAAACTTGAAAAAATAAAAAGAAACACAAAAAAATGGCATTCAAACGTAACTCTGACAAGAAGACAAGACGTAATCCTAACAAGAACTCGAATAAGGCATAGTAACCTCACCCACGCACACGTTCTGAACCACGAAACACAACCAATATGCCCAAGCTGCAATAAACTTGTCACCATAAAACATATATTTACAGAATATACCAAATACAACAACGAACGTCTCATATTCAAACTGCCAAAGAACATCAAAAACATCCTGAAAGAAAATAACGAAGAAAACATCCTCAAATACATAAAATTGCTAAATCTATACTCTTTAATTTAATATATAATATTGCATAAACTTTTATTATTATCATAAATTGATTGTAAAAATTGTATAAACTAAATGTACATATAAATGTAATTCTGGCTAATGACCACAGATGTCGAAGCCTTAATAATAATAAAAAAAAACAATTTAATATTGCTAAGTGATTGGTGCATTTGAAAAACCCACAGAGAAAAAAGAAATATTATAAATTTCAGTAGAAAATATATAACTAACAAAATAAGTTATTATAATGACTTATAAAAATATAACAATGGAATTTAAAATATACAAGAATTCATTCAAACATATTTCAAGAGTAGGAAAAAGTAATTTAAACAAAAATTATAATTCAAATAATTTTATTTCAATACTTAACATTAAAATCAACTACATATCATAAAAACAAAATTATAAAACACAAAAAAATATCAGTGTCCTTTAACAAAAATAAAAAAATTTAAGATCACAAATTAAAAATTAAATTCATTAACATAAAAAAATTGCTTATGAACTATTTTAACAAGAAAAAAAATAATACAGTTTAAACTTAAAAAATAATAATTTTATATCTTTATAGATACCTGACTAATTGAGTGAAATGCTTATATTACACACATTAAAATAGGAATTAAAATGATTAAAAATAATTTTTACATTTAAAATTAATTTTCAAATAAGTATTATTTTTTTTTTCAATTTCACTGAAAATTTATTTTAACGGTATAATTATAATATAAACTATTATATCATTATAATAATTTTATTGTTATGATAATATTAATATTGTCATAACATTTTTAGTTGGTTAATATATTTACCAGGTAAATATATACAAAAAGGTGATAGTATTTTTTGTTTAAGTCAAACCAAACCAATCAAATTGTTTTTGTTTATAATTTATGTAGGGCTAGTTATAACTTGTTTTTTATTTTTAATATTTTGGTCATATATCAAATTTTATTTCAAAAATATATGCTTAATCAGTTTATAAAAAATAAAAATAGAAGTTCAGTTATAAAATTTTTATATATGAATTTGAATAAACATAAATTTTTATAATTGATTATTTCACCAGTAATAATTATAAAGTTTGTAACACTACATTATTATTTTACTATTTCTAAAAAAATATATGAATATCATAACATATAAGTTTGTTTCTATAAAAAAAACAACCAATAAAATCACATTAGTAATTTAACAAGTCCTTATTGTTATAAATGCTTGAACAATTAATAATTATCAACATGTATAACTTTTTATTTATAATTATAGATAAAATTTTATTATATTCTATTTTTTTTGCATTTATAGCAAATGCGGAGAAAATAAATTAGAAAAACATGCATATTGTTTTATATGAAAAATTAACAATAAAAATGTCAACAAGATAAAATTTTTTTTTTTAGGAAGTATATAATTTTAAAATTAAAAAAACATAGATAATAAATACAATCAATCAAAGATTAATTAGAAAAATTGTAGTTTTTAAATGGTATGTTAAAAGTTGCTTATAAAAAAAACGATAACATGATTTAATATTTATTTTATCTAAAGTCATCAATAAAAAATTAGGGAAATTAATGGAGCTTTTGACACTAAAACTAAACAATTAATGACTAGAAAATACAGAAATACTTATATCTAGGAATCATAAAATAATTATAAAAAGAATTATTTCACTAAATTTGATCACCTGTAATATCTTTGAAAAAGGTATTATAAATAAAAAATTTGTTAAAAAAAAAAGTTCTCAAATAATGTTAAAACATTTTTCTGTTTTTAATTTGGTTATCCATAAAGTAGTAATTTTCATTTTACTCAAAAATAATTTGTATGAATTATCGAAAATATAATTCTAAATCATAAAGATTCAAAAACTGTTAAAGCTTTTAATATTAAATGTTATTTATCAAGCCGTATATCGAAAATATATATTATATAATATTAAATTATAATGAGAAAAACTTTAAGAAAGCTTGTGGTGGTATAGGGACATACAGAGAATTTTTATCAACATCTCGGAGTTTTCCCATAAAATTAGGATCATCGGCAATGCATGGATGCCCAATACTGTGCCAAAATAAACATCGACAATTCCTACAAAGTTGAATCATTTCTGCATACTCTTCACGCAATCCATAACATCTTAAGAAGTTAAATTTATCAACATTAAAATTACAAATGAATATAAAAAATATTTCATTCACTAACTTTCTTAATTTGTGATATAAATATTGCCAATCATGACTAGTAGTAGGTGAATTGTCTATCACAGATTGTATTTGTCGAGGACTAAAATGGAACTGACATAACTCACGCCATATACGTAATTCATCAACTAAACGAGCCATAACACCCCATGCATGAGCTGACCGCTCTAAATCTCTATGATCGGCTAACCGCAATAATACTTCACGTACACATTCTTCTGGTAATTGTTCAAATTGAGGTTCATCATTATTAACAGGCTATAAATTATTAGAATGATTGTTACCAGTAAATTATAAATACAGATAAAGTAATATATATTTAATAATATTTCAGAAAAATTTACTTGACGTATTTCTATATTGTCAGCGATTTCATGAATACGATTTATAGCACTTAAGTGTTGCTCCCATAAAATAGTTGAACCTAGAGGTCTGCCCCAGCAAGCAACCTCTACAACATCTCTAAGTTGTCCTAATAGACGATCCAACATATGTTTATTTTGTTGACTTTCTGATACTAAATAACCAAAGAATACATTAAAAAGAAATCTTGATTAAATATTATTACATTTTTTTTTAGCATAGCCTTAAGATTTTACATTATTATTAGGAATTTTTTAGAAAAGAGATTTAAAGCAAAAGAATATTTTTCACCTATTTCAAAACTATGTCCTTGCTAAAAAAACCAGTTTTTCCCTGTGGATAAGAATACTTCCACGGCCACTCTACCAGTCATAAAAGGCGACTAATGAGGTTGAGTCAGGTCGACAGCCAGCATAAAATTTTTGTCAAATAGTATGGGGTGTCCTGAACGAAATTTAGGTGAATTGTCGTATGTACGTGAGGATAACAGGTGAGAGGGAATAAAGTAGTTAAAAACGGAGAAAGCCTAAGAAATAAAGTGTTTGATACCAGCCGGACAACTTGTGTGGTAGTTGTTTCACCAGTCATGTGTACAAGTCTACCCAACGCTTGTAGTGTCAACGGTGTAGGGACATCAAAACTTAATTCTAGGCTGGACTCGTGTAAAAGGGAGAAAGATAGATACAAAGTAAGAATAGGTAAGTGAAATTTTAGAATATAAACTGGTAGAAGTAGAGAATTAGTAGGAGTATTGAAGAGGAGAAAAGTTAACATTTGTTGTGTGCAGGAAACTAAGTGGAAAGGAGAGGAATCAAAGGAAATAGGTGAGGGTTATAAAATAATATACTTAGGTAAGTCTAGTAGAAAGAATGGTGTAGGAATAATAATGGATGAAGAGATGAAAAGTAAAGTAGTAGAAGTAGCTAGAAAAAGTGACAGAATTATAGTCGTAAAATTGATATTCGAGGAAAAAGTGCTGAATGTAATAAGTGCCTATGCACCACAAGTAGGATATGATGAAATAGACAAGGAGAGAGATGGATGAAGTGATGCAAGGAGTACCTGGCAATGAGGATGCAGTAATAGGAAATATGAATGGACGTGTAGGTAATGAGAGAATAGGATAAGAAAGAGTACATGGAGGGTATGATTTTAGTAGAAAGAATGAGGCTGGAGAAAAAATCCTGGATTTCACAGTATCATATGATCTTGCTGTGGTTAATATTTATTTTAGAAAGAGGGAAGAACATTATATAACATAAGAGTGAGAGGAATAGATCACAGATTGATTATTTTATGTGAAAGAGAGAAAGTAAAGCGAGTAAAAGATTGTAAAGTTATATCAGGTGAGATTGTAACTACACAACATAGACTGATGGTAATAAAGGTGTGGTGTACCGGAAAGAGAATATTATTCTATTATTTTATTCTCTATAGTGATGGATGAAATTACTAGAGAAATACAAGAAGAGGTGCCGTGATGCATGTTGTTTACTGATGATATAGTGTTAACAGGAGAATATAGGGAGGAAATTAATCAAAACCTAGAGGTGTGGAGATCAGCTCTTGAATAAAAGGGTTTATGAATAAGTAGAATTAAGACAGAGTATATAGAGTACGAGTTTGACAAAGGAGAATTTGATGTGGTTAAAATGAGGATATCAGTGACAATTGGTGAGGACATGATTGGGAGGTGAAAAGTTTTAAATATTTAGGGTCAGTTGTGCAAAAGAACGGTGGTATTGACGAGGATGTAAGACACAAAATTAAATGCAAGTGGTTGAAGTGGAGAAAAGCGTCTGGCGTCTTATGCGATAAAAAAATTCCAATGAGGCTGAAAGGTAAATTCTACAACACTATAGTGAGGCCAATAAAATTTATTTNAAATTAAATGCAAGTGGTTGAAGTGGAGAAAAGCGTCTGGCGTCTTATGCGATAAAAAAATTCCAATGAGGCTGAAAGGTAAAAGGCTGAAAACACTATAGTGAGGCCAATANCTATAGTGAGGCCAATAAAATTTATTTAATAAATTCATTTTCACCTTGACGTGCTACTTCTTCTATTATATTAAAAAGGACACGTTGAGCACATCCTGATAAAGCATTCAATCTAGGAGAAACCAGCAAATCAAGAAGTTTAATGATATAATGGAAACGACGAACATCATGTACAGCAGAACGAAAATCTAAACGTTTGAGTGCTTCACTTAAACCATTAAATCCAGCAATCTATAAAAATAAGTGCCAAAATATAAAGATTTTTTATATACAATATTAGTTCATGAAATAGCTAATTCGTATTTATACTAGTATTTAATAATAATTAAAATTAAATAATAATATTTTTTACCTCTTTAGTGCATTTAATTGTAATATGACAATGAGGTTTTATGACACCATCATCTAAAAAAAAAACAACATATTATTATATATTGGTTATCTCATAAATTAATAGTTATAAAAGTAAACGTATAGGAAGGATTTTGTTTCTGTTATATAGTAAAAAATATTTTCTCAGTAAAATAAATCAAAGTAATGATATTTTTCAGTTTAAATAATGACATGGATAATCATACTTTTGTTTGATATAAAATTGAGATAAGAAATAATAACAATAAAAATAATTACGTCTTCAAAATACTACTTAGAGCAGTAAATGTTTTAAGCAAGTAAACTAAAGCAAAATTAATAACACCTAATGAATTTATTTTGCTGTCTAGTTAATTGTACTTTTACCATCTCCTTACTTAACCGGGTGATTGAGTTGTCTTACTCACATCACTTATAAAAAAATAAATACTTAAATCATAACTTTAATAGTTATTTATATTAAGAAAATAATTTTTTTAGTGGTTAATGAGAATTTGTTAAAAACACACTAATTTAGAGAGGATAGTTAAACAAAAGATCAATAGATGCAAAAATAATAATAGCTGATAAATCAAAAAATTAAAAATAAACAAAACATTTTTTTTTCATTATTTTATTGATTTTAAGAGTAATTGGGTGGTTTATAATAAACAGATCACCATGTATAATACTTCCTATTTTTAACTTCCAAAAAATCGAAATTAGGAAAAAAATTCAGAAAAAACAGTTTATTGGAAAATCAGGAACAATTATAGTAATAAGTTTATAAATCACTTCCCTCGGTATTAAAAACAGTTATTATAATTAATCATTTATTTTAACAATACTAAAAATATGGAAACTACTCCAAAAGTGGATTATAGGTTCAATAGTTATTAAAGAATTATCTTTTCTTAACCTTAATTAAAATTAGAGTATAATATTTTGACCCATTTAAATTTGAACTCTAAAGAAGTTTTACTCTAAAGAATATTGTGACATTGTTAATTTTTTTTTAATATGCTATTATTTATAAATGATAAAATAATAATAAATGATAACTATTTTTTATATACCCCTTATATTTAATAAATTTTTATTATAAATCATAAGAGTTGTTTTTATTATTAACTTAAAAATTTTGTGTCTTGTGTTATTAATTGTTATACATGGTAAATCATGGAGATAAAACAATTCCAATAACTTTTGATATATTAAATATTTTACATTAATTTATATTATGAACAGTTTTTATATTTTTAATCTACAATTTTAGTAAATAAAATATGTATTTTTATTTTATGAAAAAAATTAATAAATTTTCCAAAACTGCCATTCTAAAGAATAAATTTTAAGAAAAAATTTAATACCAAAATCTTTTTTTAATATATTATAGTTAAATTTCTAGACATTTTAAAAAATTGAATTTTTTTGTGTACAAGGTTTTGTGTATCATAAATCACCCAATTACTTGCAAAATAAATACAATAATGAATAAAAATGTTTTGGTTTAAAATTTCACAAATAAAACACTTCTGAAGTATAGGAGTATAGCTTCCATGATGATTTTTATCATAGAATCATTTGACCTCCACTGTGCATATAATATAACTAGTAAACATATAACAATGAATTATACTTGAAAAACTTTAAGCAAAATTAAAGCCTAATATATTTTTAATTAATTAAAAAGTGTATCTATTTTGAAATTATTTTAATTAACTAATAATTTCTAAAAGTTTATAAGAAATATTAAGTTCTTTTTAATATTTGTCACACATTGTTTTATTTTAATATAAATCATTATATTCATTTTGGTTATATCTTACAGGACATCATAATAAAATAGATACTTATTTTTTATTATATTAAAGTTTGTAATAATTAGGAATTAGTTTGGATAAACAATTCACGTATATTTGTCTTAACTTTTTTAAAAAATGAAAATTTTTGTGGAAAAATTCTACTCCTACAATCAATTTTTTTGTGTAAAATAATTGCATATTCTTCAACTTTTTTATTTGAAATATACTATCCAATCACATTGTAAAATATGAACAAAAAAAGTTTTTTTTTAAATTAGCCAGTATAATTGAAAATTTTATTTATAAATAAATTTTAAGTAAACAAATATTTGTGTAATATTATTGTATTCAATTAATGACTAATAAAAAAAAAGATTTTATTTACTGTTAAATTAATAGTGAACATGACTAATATGACTAGGGTACAGAGGAAAAATAGTAATAGTCAATTATTTTCAATTTTATTTTTATGGTTTAATTCGATTACCCATTAGAAGTAGTACCACATAATTAAATCTATTTGATGAAAATAGTTTTAATTTTTCTAATATTTAAGAGTCTGTATTTGTTTTACATTAAAAATATAGGAGTTTATAAATTTATATTTGTTGTCCTAAAAAATGTACATAAATTGACTATTACCGTTTCTCCCATGTACCCCTCAAATGATTACAAAATACTTGCATTGACTTTCGCTAAAAGGATATTTTGTTCTAAGACGTTTATTTGCATTGACTGTGTCTTCATTTTCCTTGTTTTCGTCCCTAAAAAAAATTAATATTTTTTTTAATAGAAAACAGTTAATAATGCAAATTTGTAATATTAAATTAAAAACATAATATATAAAAGTTAATTTTTCGCCATCTTCCAAAAAATAAAATTAGTATTTATCAATTAATTTTTACTATATACTGACGCAGTAAGTAAACCAATCTAAAATAAGTGGAAGGTGTTTCAATCGCAGATTTTGCTTATGCAATGTACGGTAAATAAATGATAGTAAAATTAGCTAATAAATTTTTTTTAACATAACACGTATGTGTTCTCAAAAGTCCCCGGTCATTCATCCTAATTATTTTATTCATTGGTCAGCCATTTTTTTCTCCAGATGAACGATATAATATTATATTATATTAGTATTATTTACGCTTCCAAATTGTACAAATAATTGTGAAAGACAGAAGTGAGACCGACTTCATTTATTAATATCTTTTAATTAGGTAGACAATCCAAAAATCTATTAATATATAATGCATAACCATGAGAATTTTGGAAATACACAATAGTCATAACGCGTAACATTTCTTTGTTCTTTTTTGATAAAATTATTACACATTACATAATTATTAAAAACAAACATTTAATAAATAAAGTCACACAGTAAAAGTAATACGTAAACACGTCATTAATATAACAGTATTATAAAATGTTAACAGAATAGTATAAATTTATAATAATAAAAAATAATATAATATTTTTGTAAGTGGTTACCAAATAAACCTGGAAAACTAGAAATCTCTGTATTACTTTAATTCGTTGTGCTTCGTAGAGCATTCTACATGACATTAATGTTACGAGTTAAATTACCAAACGTAAAGTGTAATTTACAGCATTACATTTAAGTAATATAATGTGGTTAACATTTACATATGTATTAAAATAAATACATAATGAAAATAATCATTTAAATGCCACAATATAATTAGTAATGAATAAAATTAATTACATTACATTTACACTAAAAATGTACCACGCTATAATATGAACTAATCTAAGGAATTTATTTAATTATTATTTTTAGGAATCGATTACGATTCCAAAAAAAATATCATATTCAAAGTACAAATCCTCACAATATATTATATTTTTATATTATATTATATTATAATACAATTTATTATACGATTTTTGAAATACTTAACTTTAAGTAAATAAAAAAATGTGTAATAAATTAAAAGAAACTTTATATATATTATACTTATTATTATATACATTTAATGCTAAACAAATTTTAACAAAAAATTCATAAGTAATAAAAAAAAAAATCTCATTGTTGTGCATTATTTATTAATAGATTTTTAGTTTGCCTACCAAATTAAAACATATTAAAAAATGGTTAAAAAGTAAATTTCGTTGAAGTTTATATCAAAGTATTAATTAAATTAAATTTTAGAATATGTATTTAATTGAATAATGGTTTATGCCAGATTCATTGTCTTTAATATAATTTTTTATTCAAGTTAAAGTTCTTTCATGTCATACATTAATAATTTAATGTTATAAAGATAGTCTGTAATGATGCAGGATGGAAGAAGCTGTGTATACTTCACTCATATTTCTCAGATTTTGTTTTTGAAAAATAAAACGTGTATAATGAGAAATTATTTTGCTAGTCCTACATTTTTTTTCAGCAACAGGTTTGTTGCATTTTTGATTTAAGTGAGAACGATTAAATTAATACCTTTCAACAAAAATATTTGAAAAATATTAATAATTTTTAAATACTAAAAATGATTCGTCTCATTTTATTATGTTAGTTTTATCGATATATCAAAACGCAAAAAGAAAACCTATCAGTATTTGTCTTTGTTTGAAATTCGTGTGACGAGTTTTGGATGAAGTTCAAATATTTCATTAAATCTTAAAAACGTCGTACTTTAACTAAGGGACTCAAGCCAAATAAAAAGTAATGGGTAACCTGAATTATTTTACATAAGTAGATTTCATAGATTTAGATAATATTTTAACCATATGTTAAGACATCAGAAATTACGGGAAAATAGAGTAATTTATTTTTTTCAATTGGCATAATTAAAATCTATTATTCTATTTTTCTTAGAATTTTTTCATTATGTTCAAATAAATTTAATTCCATCAAATATTTGTTTACATCAGACTTAACAAGTGAATTACTTATTTTTTTAACAATTATATAGCACAAAAATTGAATCCATTACTATTGTATTCACATCATACGTAAGATGCTAGAATGATAATCTTAATACCTTAATATTTAAATTAGGGAGTAGCCTAATAGTAGTATACGAGATTATCTCGTCCTATATAAAACACTCAATGCATAAAGTCATTTTACACTTTTTATTTTATACTTATTTAACAATTATTATAAGACTTTGAAAATAAAAAAAACATTTTTATATTAAACAAATATAACATTTTTTCGTGAATTAATCAAAACATTAAGAAAGTCAAATATTAGGGGTAATTGTACAAAAAAAATGACTGGTCACAATATAGGCAAAACTAGAATAATATTTTTAGGGAGGGCTATTTAAATTTTTTTTAACAACGTATTTTGGGAGATGGAACAATCTCCACCTAGACTCACGATATCCACGCTATCCCAACCCAACTAATAGAGTTAGTATTTATTAAATGTTTTTAAAGATTTAATTTTTTTGCTCGTCACTACACCTTATAAAATTTTTTAAACATGTCTCAACTTTGTTTTACCGCGACAACAATAAACATAATTTGCATAACTATGTTTGGCTTATGACTAATTTAAATGAATAAAATTTAACCAATTTATTATTATCTTATATAACTATAAATTGATGAATGAGATTTAGAGCAGTAACAGCTTAGGTTTGTTACCTCACAGACAGCATATTTTTTATTTATTATTATAGTTAGCAAACAGTACACGTTTTTTATAAAATCTTCAAATAAGTAACAACTAGGATAGATTTCCTCAATAATTTTTTGATTACACTATAAAGTGTTCACTTTGAAAGTCTATTCCTCATGTCAATAGTTTTCTTATGAAAAATTAGCAACCTGGTAACATTATTATGGAGATGTTATAACATTGTTAGAATTACAATATTCAGGAGAAATAGTTATGAGATAGGTATAGGATTTAGAGTCTCCACTTTTATTTTTTCATTAAAAGTAATTTTAAAATTTCGCGATTTTCAATTTAATATTTAGATAAGAATTTCTTAAACATTTTTCATTTAAATGTGTATAATTAATTTTAAATTTTTCAAATAATGATAAATGGTTTTACTAAATGAAATAAATTGATTATTATATCAAGTATGCTTATAGGATAATACAGTTTTATATTAAATTTATCTTATAAAATAAATTTTATTTAATAATTTTGTAAACATAATATAATGTAATCAACATATTAATGTTTAGGTATGTAATGTGATAATAAAAAAGCTATATGCATTCACAATATTGATTTTTATTTTTATATGTAATTGTTTCATACTAAATTTGAATTTCTTATATAATTCAATATTTTTTTTTAATTAAAATTATAAAATAATTATTTATTTAAACCATAAGTAGTATAGAGTGATCTTGTTATTTTTTGAAATTGAGGAAGTAAACATATTATGATTTTGTTTAGCACACTGATTAAAATTTACATTTTTACACTATACCATTTTCAAATTAAAGAACATTTAACTTTAAAATAATATAGCCTACATGTTAAAACTTCATTACTAAGTTCTTTAAAAATATTAAGATGAAATAAGACTAGCATTCTGCTAGTCGCCTATACATAGTTCTCATGCATAATACTTCACTAGTACTTTTTAAAAAACTTAAACTTACTTAGATAACAGGTTATAAATTACTAAATAAATAAATTTAGAAATAAATATAAATAATATTTGTTTGTAAAAATTTCCATAAAATTGATATACAATAATAATTCAAATTATTTTAATTAAATTAAGAAATATTCAGTGAAATACTTTAAACCAAACATAATATTAATTTTGAATCTTATCATATCTAAAATTCGACTAAAATTAAATAAACCTTTAAGTACAGATATGATATACACTTAGTCTACTTCAAAACATAGAAATAAGCATATTTAAAATTTTCTTAACATTAATTGGGACACAAAGATCAAAATATTTATAAAGACATCCAAACCTCAAGTTTTTGAAGGTATATTAATTAATTAATTTTCAATGTCATTTAAATGAATTGAGGTAAAATTTCATAAGCATAAGCATTAGTATGATTTTTGTTGTTAAAATTGTATCTGGAAACTGGAGCACTAACTAATCCTAGGTTAATATGTTTCTGAATTTTTATTTTCTAAAAGAAAGCAAATTGCTGGTGAATTTAAAATTAAATGTCTAGTAGCGTAGGAAATTCAACTAGGCATATAGGAAAAAAGTAAGACATTGATGTACACTATCTTACTCTTTCTTAAAATCCAAATATAAATTCTAAATTTAAAACATACAGGATTAAGTTCATAATAATCAAAAAACCACATTTCTCATTTATATTAATTTTGTTTAGCTAATAATATCTTTAAAATATAAAAATGATTTATCTTACCAATGGTCATTTGACTTTTCACCGCGGCAAGCTTCAGAAATTGTAATTCTAAAATGTATAAATAGCGAACTGTTATTTCAATTATTTTGTTTTTAAAACAGTGCAAATAAAATAAAATATTTCTAGTTACTTTTTTAATATCCAACAAGTTCAATAAAAAATAATAATAAATCGTAATAAATACTAGTTTTACCCATTGAGTACATTATCTTGTTGAAGAAGAAAATTACAGCACTCCAAAATTTTCTTTTTTTCCCAACCTTCCTTTGTTTTTACCCATACCTCTCCAGGAGATCGCCAATCTTTAGATATAAATGGCATACTAATTATTAAAATAACGAAGTATGATACTCAGTTGATTGAAAAAATAAACAAAAATAATTTTATCAAACGAATAAATATTTTGAGCTAAAGTACTCTAAATTCGTACGCCTAACGAAGACAAAAGAGAGACACTAACTGCAATCAGAACAGCGAGATCAGTACAACTGAAAATCAAACAAATAGAAAATTACGAGTAGAGACCTGACAACGACGCAGTATCAAAATAATAGCAAAATGTTAGCACATGCGCACTACATTCAACTCAATTACGGAATAATGTTTAACAACTACAAAGAAAGCTAGTTCTACACATTTTAAAACATTGTTTTATTATTGCTCTACAACTTGCGCCGTATCTACTTTTATTTTTAATATTTTGTTATTACTGTAAGATGTAAATCAAACTGCAACATAAAGCACGAAGTGTAAATAAATTTATAAAAGATACAGGAGAAAAACGGTAATGATTCATTTCTGTAATTTCCAGGAAAACAAAATGATAGTTATTAATTCCTATAAATTTTTAATGGTAAAACAAAAATAGACACTTATATATTATAAAAATTATAATATTTATCATGGAGTAGATTTCATTACTTGATAACACAACTTATAAAATGCGATATCGAATCAAACCATTAACTCAAAATTGAAAAAGTGGATTTTTACCTTTTTTTTCCTTTACTCTTTATATTAATATTGTACTTTAGAGAACAATAAAATTACCGATTTTAAAAATAAAAATTTTTTGTAGAATTTCCTCTATTAACAGGGAACGAAGGGGAAATTCTCAATTTTTAAAAGCAATGTCATCAACTAGATACGATTTATGATCTTTTAATGTATCGTTGAGAAAAAGTGTGACGGACACAAAAAAGATAGCACAGTTGGGTCGTGGCATTGTTGGGACAAGTATAGATGATATCTGGCAGTATTTTAATCACTATCAGAAAAAACGCTTCGATTTAAATCGAAAATATATATAAAAATAAGTCGTTGTTACAAATTTTATTTTTTGAACTTGTAGTACATAAAAATAATCTATATTTTAACATATATTTAAAAGACGCAGTTTCCCCAGAACATTTTCAAAATTTAAGTTGAAAAAGTTCTTTTTATACAAATTTTCAAGTTTTCAAAAATTTGTTTAAACTTTTCTTTACTTTGTAGAGGCAAAATAATTACAATAAGTATAAATTTACATTAAATGTATGTTAGATTCATGTAAATTTTATATTTATTGGTGGACTCATTACAATGGACAATCCTTCTAAAGTATTTTAAAATAAACAAAAAAAAAAAAATACAATTTGAACACAAAAATAGCATGTTTTTTAACTATGGCAGCCAACCCAACCCAAAACGTAGAAGAGAAGTTGGGACATATATTTTCTTAATTTATAAAACGTAACATAAGCTATAATTTGACAAATGTTAAAAGAACACAGTATTTTCGAAAAATTTTCAAATGTTGATTTTTGTAAAAAAAAAGTTGCCATTTTGAATCCCCTCTTGTGAGCAGGTAAAGGATCAGATTTTCAAAAATATTATACAAAATAAAAGTAAAATACCTTAGATTTCAATATAAAAAAAAAAATTATTTTGATTTGTTAATTTTTGAGAGAGTTCTGGTAGTTTTCAGAAAAAAGTGAAAAAAAATGTCAAAAATTACTGATTTTAAAAATCGTATTTTTTTTGGAGATTTCCCTCAATAACGAGGAATGAGGGAATATTTTTCAATTTTCAAGAGCAATGTCTTCAACTAGATACGATTTTTCATCTTTTGACAAATCATTGAAAGATCTCGGTCCAGTGAAAGTTAAAAAAAGTGGCAACAGGTATAAAATAACAAACCCAGCACAGTAAGGTTGCGGCACAATGGAGACGTGGCATAGTTGGGTCCAGTATAGATTAAATCTGACAGTGATTAAATTTATTATCATAAGAAATGCTTCGATGCAAATTTGTAGATAGTATATAATTCTAAGAAATTGGTGGATAATTACAAACGCAAAGTGAACTCCTATTTTCTTATTTATAACATGATTAGTAATTTTTATATTCAAAAATATAATATATAATTTTTTAATTATATATTATATAATTTTTATAATTATTGTTTAAAAATTGTTATTGCTTTTGATTTTTAATATATTAAAAGTAATATTTTTATTTTATTTATTTTTGTCCTTTAAAGTGAAAGTTTATAAAAATAAAATGATTTATTACTATAACTTTTAGCTCAACTTGGAAGTTAGAAATTTATATCATTAAATAGAAAAAAATGGTATTGGTAAGATGAGTACGCAGTCAGAAAGTTTTATAATTACTATTTACAGTAAATTTATCAGAAAAGCTCGATTTTTTTACGATTTTATCGTAATAGATCAATTAAATAGAAATCATAGTAATCAATTATAATTAACTTTTGTTAATTGTGTTTAAAAAAATTGTACAATTGAAATATACAAAACTGAATTAATTTTAATGATTTACTTTAACTAAAAAAACCAATAAATAATAGTTCTACTCAATTGAGCGTATTGTAAAATTTGATTATAATTGTAAATGTCGTTTGTTAAATTCAGGTGAAACTAAAAATCATTTTTTTAGTGTTGTAAAACAAAAAAATAGGTAAGGGATAAGATATGATGGAAGGGAATGTTATAGGAGTATCGCAAAATAAGAACTATCCTTTTTCTCGAGGTGTGTTGTTCGAGGGTCACTTGCTAACTTAAATACATGCACAATAAATTAGGATGTTCTTACCTTAATCATATAATCCTCATTTATACAATAATTTACTCGTGGAACAATAAAGAAAGTATGAATTATAATAACCAATTTGTATAAAGAAATATCTTCGATTATTTTATTATTAAAAACACATGATACAATAATAGTAAAGGAAAAATAAACAAAACTAAAAAAATACAAAATTGGTTTAAAAGGCGAAAGAGAGCCGGACGATGATCGCGACGTGTTCGTATGTCGGTTGGATCGGAACAGGCCGTGTCAGACGAGCCCATGGAGTCCTTTGGTGTCCTTCCAAAGTCCCCTTCCAGACACGTACATGACCATCGGCCTTACATTTATTTAGATTCTTTTGTAGCTATTTTGCTGACATTGTAGAAGGATTTTGTAAAACTACGGGGTTGTACATGTTGGGAAAGAACGGATGTGTGTGCATGGCGTGATTGTGTGAGTTGTGTGTGTATCTGCAGTCAGTGATAGAAAGTGTTGATTGTGTTTTGTAATTTATTGGTGTGTGGGTAGAAGATGAAAGAATAACAGATAAACATTTTGTTCGGTTGTGTGAAGGGCCTATTACAACATAGCTTCGATGCGAAGCTGAGAAGGTATTGGTTTTACTAAGATGTGTTTATTTTTTATTTTTTAT